TCTTTTATTTTTACCCTATTGGATTGCTTTAGCAAGTTTATCTTAGCGTTCCCCCTTAGAACAGCAACGGCATCAAATATAGTTAAAATAGTAGAAAACCAAGTTTTCCTGGTATATGGGGTACCTAAAACCATTATATGTGACAACGGTGTCCAATTTCGCGGTAATCTTTTTTCAGATTTGATGACAAAGTATGGTGTACATATAAAATATACTTCACTGTACCATCCCCAAGCCAATCCAGTAGAACGCGTGCATCGAGTCATCAAAACGATGTTCACAGCCTACGTGTCAGAAGATCAACGACATTGGGATCTGGTATTGCCAAAAATTACTTGTGCGTTAAGATGCTCTAAGCATGAAGTAACGGGGGTATCTCCAAATTTAATTAACTTTGGTAGAGAAATTCATCTTAATGGATTGGAAGGTGATAATTTCCCTACCACCCAAACCAACGTCGGTGATCTCCATAGCAAAACTACCTCACTTAACAAACTATTTGCAGACGTTAGAAAACGTCTTAAGACCGCTTATGATCGGGCTAAGGTACCATATAATTTCCGAAAACGTACAGAAAAGTTTAATTTAGGGGATATAGTATGGAAAAGAAACTATGTACAGTCCAATGCGGCTAAGTATTTTAGCGCGAAATTAGCCCAAAAATTTGTCGGACCCTATAAAATCTCAAAAGTAGTTTCACCATGGAATTATGAGTTAATTGATGAGAAAAATGCCAGCGCCGGTGTTTGGAATGCTAAAGATTTAAAATCAGCACCTATTAATAGTGTCGCAATAGATGTGAAGTCCAAACCTCCGGACGTTATCCGAAATTTTAGCAATTAGGCTGACTTTTCGCATTTCGTATCGCGATATATTCTCTTTTTGTTTGATTTTTTTTTTCTTTCTTTTATTCGCAAGGTTATAAGTTTAAAAGTTTCTTCGAAACTTTTTGTAGGTAGAGGTGGTGTTGTTACGTACTAAAAGTCTCATACCTTATATATAATTTTTATTAACAATTTTATTATTCTAATATAGAATAATTAGTTTTCACAAAGAAATGAGCAAGGGCCCAACTATTTTAATATATATCTATTTTGAGATCCTTCAACTGTAGCTATATTTCATCTTCAATTAACTTTACCTTGATATCTGGTTTACCTAAAAATAAACGAATTAAAACTAATATTTAAATATTTTAGTAAATTAGTAAATATAACCTTAAATTTTGTTATGTTCCTCTTCTGTTACCTGTCAAATTTTCTTCTCACAGAACCATAAAACATAAATTATTGGAAAAATACCATGACGTCATGCACAGTTCAGTGTAGCCAATAGTTCAGAAGAATAATTCTCTAGATTCTCGCGGAATGATTCGGTTTAAAGCCCATAAGAAAAAAACTATCAGTTTTTTTTTCATCTTTTTCTTTTTTGGAGAATTTGCTTTGAGAAGCAACCACGTTTTCCAAACCTCGCCTTTTTTGCGGATATTTACCGAAATCTCCGATTATTTTATTAAATTTCGATATTAGGGATAAAGTAACTAATATCACATTTTGTGGATCTAAAAGAAATAATTTATTTGGAGAATTCAATTATCAAATTCGCTTCAATTGAAGCCACGTTTAGGCCCCCTGCCAACCGAGGTGAGTCTATTGTTTAAACTATTCTATTGTACCTTATATTTCTTTAGATGATGCTTTACCAAGTTATATTATTATTAGGCCTTTCTCGTTTTCCTATTCTTTTTACCTTTGGCACTTAAAACTATATCTGGGTTGATAGTTCCCATTACATCTTATTCAATTGAAAGGACCACACTATATTGACGCCTATAAGATCTCTAATACCAATCGAAGCCCTGTAAGGTTCTGGAGAGAAGCCGCCCTTCTGGAAAAAAGACAGATAAGCCTTAAAAACTTTAATTTGTTTTTTTTTTTATTATTATTAGTCGAGTCAGTGATTTAAGTATATTTTACGTATTAATTTGCCAATTTGCTGATAATTCATTCATATGTATATTAACTTATCAATTTGCTGATAATTCGTTAGAAAATAGAACTTTAAACCTTCTCAATAGGTCAAACTTGTGATAAGGACATTAATCTGAGTCTGAAACAAAATAGACCATAATTATTAAAAACATTCAAGACAAAATATTCATTGTTAAAGATAGGTATTTTACAATTAGTGTAATCTTTTTATGGTTCTTGTTGAGCTTACCTGTGAATAATTTGTAAATATAAATACGTATTTATATCAATATCATCCAAATGTTTCATACTTATTGCTAAAAGATATTTGAGAAATATAATAATCTGCCTGATTGCAAGAAAAGAACTCCACAATAGCTTTTATTTTGCTAACCTTCGAATCCTTCCTGAGATTGACGCATCCTGGCTTTAAAAGGCTTTCCCTTAGTACCCTGAGGCAAAACAGCCGTAACAGTATGTCACAAGAATGGACTTTTACAAGCGTACAACCAGATTTAATGCCACTTAGATGTACATATAATATACTTGAATTAAAATATTTATTTAGAATCGTAAATATTTCTGTTAAATGCAAAATTTATAGAAAAACATCTTTATGATCCTAGCTTTCACATAACGAAAAATTGTACATTAGATCGCAGAATAATATTTTATGTCTAAGAAAAAATTACAGTTCTGCTTATCGTATTTGTGTTTGTAGATACTTTTTGTTTTACATTTAATTATAGATTTTTGTATTATTAATATTTGATTGTTGATGTTCGAATTGCTGGTATAGGTACTATAGTACGCGGGTACTATTGACCAAATGCATACCATAATTTGATTTAAAATTGTCGACTATATGAAAACTGTTTTTAATATTACTTACAGCAAATTATTAGTACCTCTTATGTTTTATTAGTAAATCTATGTGTACAGTTATTTTTATAAAATATTACTTTTAAATTATTTATAGTACCTCTAATACATTTTTTGTATTTCATAAACTGTTAAATGTTAATTTATACGCACACCCATGATGTCACACGACAGCTTGAAGCGAGAACAGTTGCAATATGATAGACATACGTTAGTTTTATTCTCCTACTTATCGTGATTGTACCTACAATAGCGTACGTCCATTATTATTCATATTATATTTTAGCTTTTAGACTTTTAGAGGCAAGAGTCTGGCATATAAAGGTGAAATTAGCATTTCGCGATAAGTCCGGTTTCCTCGAACACATACATTTTAGATAAATGACCACAAATTTGATATATATTTAGGCACAGTTTGTTCGCTATACTTATGCGGGTTTCGGATTAACAAAATTATTCAAATTAGTCATTGATAACCAGTTCCAATAAGCCTCTTCCCAAGAAATTAGGTAAAATTGCCCTAATGTAGATCATATATAGACATTCTAAAATATACGTAAAAATAAATTTTATGGATATTCTCAATAATTTTAATTATTAATAGTAAATAGTTTGTATGCACTGTACAACTTGGGCCACCACCCGCTCATCGTCTCCTTTAGTTGTTCTAGTAGTCTTGATAGGTATATCCTAATAAACACAGATATCTTTTTTAAACATATATATTACATAATTCACGCAACACATGAATCGACAGACACATTATTTGTAACATTCTTCAACTTGTTTAAACGTATAAATGTCATCATCTCTGATAGCTCAAGACATGCCACTTAAAACATTTAAGAATATGAACCTAATAGGTAACAGATATGTATCATGTAAATATCTAGAAACATTCTATATAATATCAGAGATGTGTTCTATTAAGCACTGATGGGTAGGTACAAGAGGTGACAAAAATGCTCAGCTCTGCATAATGTTTTATTGTCATTAAAATTTTTACAGATTTAAATTTACATTATATAAATAGTAATTAATGGTTTATATAGCTTCCCCTGTAGATCGGGAGGATAGAATGACTTTTCCTAGGCATTTACTATCGGGCTGGTAGAAACCCTCTAAATAGTTACTCCTCTAGGCGACATTAATAACCTGCAGGACTTTGACGATCTGAAAAAATTAATATCTGTAGTCTGTAGGATTTTGATGAGCTGGGAAGATACCTCTCAGCGGCATGCAGTAGGTTTTGACAAGTTTGAGAGGCAGGTTCTATATGCCCCTAGAAGATAGACAAAGGGTCTTATGAGGCCTAATACTGCGAAGAAACCCACCTTTCCCACATTACAGATACAGAACAACTAAATCAAATAAGATGTCAGGTCCAAGCAAAATCTCGTGAATATAGTACTAATGATTGCCAAAAATTAACTAATTAATATTTAATAAGGACTTTCAGAACCATATTTACCCTACTTGAATTTTTATCATCGTTTTTTATATAGAATCATCTCTAAAAATATATGACTGAAACATTGTGTGAACTATTTGTTCGATCAATAAAAAACTTACACTGGTCCTGTCCGAGCCAGATACGCATGAGCTCCGACAAACTATTTTCTCTTTATGGTTTCATGTTTGATATATATGGAATTGTCTTTCTATACTATTTCTATGGTCACTACTTAAAAATATTATAAAATATTGATTTACTAATTTTATTGCCACAGTTACTTGTAAAGTACTCATTTAGTTATTTTCTGTCATTTTGATTACAATTAGTTTAACAACTTTATAACGTTATCAAAAATTTAACAAGCTTGCAAAATAATGGGTATCTTTTTTTTGGCCGCATTTACTTTACAGTCGCTTTATATAAACACAATTTTATCATACTTATTATAAGAAGTTGTGTACAATATTAGATCAATAAACATTTGAAATTATTCTTGCATTTAAGTCTCTTTTCATGAACAAAAATATAGAAAAATGTTTTGGATCTACTTAATGTTGTGTACACCTTGGCCGCATGATTTGTTTTGGTTTAACCAGAATGTATTTGCTTGTCTCCGGCTGCAAATTTCTGATTATACCAAAAAGCCCCATTTTACCAACTTGGTCACCAAATAAAAAGTCTATTATTTTTAGTCAAGTATTCCGCAACATCTACAAAATGGCGAAACCGAACGGTCAGATATTCTTAACGATCATGGAGTACAGTTGCGCAGACGCAAGTTTTCACGAGCTAAATCAACATCCAAAATGGGGTAAATATGGACAGAAAATGACGGTCTCACCATTTTACTACTCGTCGAGTCCTGAAGATGCATACAGGAAATTGTTAGGAGACGCTGGATTTGTAAATTACACACTGAAAACTGAAAAGGTTTCTTATGATTGGGATAACGAAGAAACCTGGAAGAGTAAGTAGTGTTTCTGATCTAGTAATTAGCAGGTTTTTTTAGTCATAAAATTCAAGAAGTTATAGGCATCATGGATTAGAGAAGAAAAGCAAAATTCTTACAGTAATATTTGATGCATCTTTAAAATTATGTTCTGTTTCTAAAGGGTGATTGATTTTAAAATGTCTATGAGGGCAACTTACTTAAAAAAAAAATAATTTCCATTTCAATTTATTTATTGTTTCAGCCTTTACTTGATGAAAATCCATTTGATCTTGAAAAAGTAAAACCAAATTGGTAGATTTTCACACTTTTATTTTAAAAATATAAAAATTTTTAAAAAACACTAACATGACATATGTTTCGAAGTACAACTTCTTTTTCAAATGTGACTATTTTAAATTTGGTATCCAATATATATACGAAATATTTAACAAAACAAAGTACTTAAGAAAAACATCAATAACATTACAAAATAACTATTTAAAGTAAATAAGGGTACTTAGGTAATTATAATATCAATAAGATAACAATAAGATAGCACATTACCGGGATTATCTTACAGAAAACTAGGAAAGAGATTTAATAAGGGTGAATTATTAATATCTAATTGATCATTTAGTAAGTTATCTACAAAAAAAAATTCAGAATTCGAGACATATTCCATGTTAGTGTTTTTTAAAAATTTTTATATTTTTAAAATAAAACTGTGAAAATCTACCAAATTTGGTTTTACTCTTTCAATTTCCATTTCCTTTATTTTTCAGATTTCTGCATTTCAATTAACCCCTTAATATCAAAAATACCTATTGAAGAAGTCGAGGAATATCAAAACGATTACGTAGAAACAATGAGAAAGTACTTTAACTTTTACGAAGATAAAAATAAACAAGTGATTAACATCAAATACAACATGTTTATTATCGTGGGCAATAAAACCGTTTTTTCCAAAGAATAAAACTTTGTTTTATTTTGGTATTGATGATCTACAGGCGAGGGGTAAACCACTGATGATGTACAAAAAGAAGGATTTACTTAAATAATTAAAGCCTTTTACCTTTTAAAAACTTTCCTGCACCAGTTGGATCATTTTTTTTATATCTGGTCACACAAAATGAAGTTTTAAATAAAATAAAATCCTTAAAAAAACTCTAATTCTCTTGACGTTCATGAACTAAACGTTAAAATTATAAAACAAACTACTGATTTTTTGTTGGATCCTTCGACCAATGTAATAAATGTTATATTTAGTACTGGAATCTTTCCAGATTGTTTTAAATACTCGAAAGTTATACTATTACATAAAAAGGGCGATACATAAATTACGCCACTGCACTTTGGAGTAACAGTTCAGATGCAATTTTGATTTTTCAGTTACAGAAGAAGGCTGTTAGAATCATAACTGGTTCCAAATTTAGAGAACATTATCATCCCTTATTTATTCAGCAAGGAATAATGCCTTTACCAACTATTTATATATTTAGTGTCGTTTTGGAAATTCATAAGAAATTATTACGTCTTTCTAGGCAGTCAGACATTTACAAATACCCCACCAGACAAGCTAACAACGTAAGAATAAATAGATATCGACTAAATAAATCAAAAAACAATTCCCTCGACCGTGGTCTTCATAATGTACCATCCGAGTTTAGGCTGCTGGAGTTCAATTCATTTTTCTAAAAACATTTATGTTGACACATTGTTTTTATTTCGTGGAGGAATATATCGATCGGTCTAAACTTTCGTAGTTCTTAAACCTTCTACTCTATTTTCTTTTCTCTTTTCTTTTATACACTCCCCACAAAAATTAACGCATCATTTCAATTTTCTTACAAAACGTAAAATTTTTGCTATTTTTTTTATTTAAAGTTTGGTGTCTCATAAATTAAGAACTATTTGTGTGCAATAATGGCAAAAAAATAAAACTTAAGAAGGGACCAAATAAATTTATTCGATTTTTTACAAATTTAAAAAAAGTAATTTGAGTGCAATCGATAAATAATACAAAATTATTACCTTGTATTACCACCCCGTGCTCTAAGTACTACCAGACATCGACGTGGCATACTTAAAATCATGCTTTGCATCAATTGTTCCGGCAAATTGTCCCATTCCTCGGTTAGAGCTTTTTGAAGTTAATTTAAGGTGTTAGGAATAATTGGTCGATTTCGTACTTGTGGTAATAAATTGTCCCAGACATGCTCTATTAAATTTAAATCAGGACTGGCCAATCCAATGTTGGAAATACCAACTTCGTTAAGGTACTGACGAACAATTAAAGCTGTGTACGGGCGAGCGTTGTCTTGCATAAAAACAAAATTGTCTCTAATGAATGAACCGTAAGGTACAACATAAGGTTCAAGAATGTCCGCTACATATTTTGCAGCTGTTAAATTTCCTTCCACAACAGGTACTAACTCTGTACGAGCCGCAAAAGAAATTTCTCCGCACATCATAACAGAGCCATCACGCCTGTAGACTGGAATTCGTCGATCATATGAAAACAGGCTGAATCTTCATTCATCAGAAAATAGAACATTGGACCAATCGTCTATATCCCAATTCACATGATTTCTGGCAAACTTCAACCGTGCAACACGATGCTCCCTGGTAAGGCGTGGACAAAAGTCGGCAACCCTGGCTCTAATTCCTTCTTCCCGAAGACGATTCCTTATTGTTTGCACAGAAATTCTTGTGTTGCGAGCAACGGCTAGTTCGTTTTGGAGCATTCGCGCTGTACAGTGTCTAGTTCGAAGAGCGGTTAATGTTAAAAATCGGGTGTCCGCTGCTGTGGTAACCCTTGGACGACCTTAGCCAGGCCTTCTGTCGTATTGCTCTCTTTCTCCAAACTGGGTAGCTACCCTGAAAATTGTTGATTGTTGAACATCAAAAGCATTTGCAATGTAACGTTGACTACGTCCTTCTTCAAGTAATGTAATGATTCTAACCACTTCGTCATGTCCCAAATTTCTTCTCTGGCGGTCAGCAATATTCATTTCAATAATTTTCAAAATTAAATACCACAAAAACCAAGTTAACTTTACTAAATATTGAGAGCAACTAATCGCGAAAGTTGGTTGCAATTTCAAAGTATTATTTTACAAAAATATTTACACATAAAAAAACTCATTATTTTTTGTATGTAAGTATCCAAAACTAATAGACTATCCAATACTTAAATATATCGAAAAATCAAATAAAGAAAAACTTTTTGTGCAGAGTGTATATATATTCACCTAACTTATTTGAGTTATTTTATTCTACTTAACAATTATATGTATGTAGGTATTTCGTTGTGTAGTTCTGTATTTTATGTCTAAATAACTGTTATTTTAATATGTACGTTTTGTGACTTGCTACTTTACTTCTGGAGGATGAATAAGATCTTGATGATTTTAAATTGCTCTAAAATAAAATAGAAATAATATAGTTTCCATTTTATTATTAAGTTAAACAAATAATTAAGATATCACTTTGGTATAAATTACGTTTTTTTTAGGTAGTACAATACGTATGAATACGGTTGATGTATTACCAAATATATTCGTGAAAATGTCCGCCTTATAAACGTCGATTACTAAGAATTTATCCACCTATAATTAAACGTTTTTACTATACGTCCATAGTAGATATATAGTTGTAGTATATTTATACGAATCCACTTTGGTATAAAAGACGTTTTTTTTATGTACTACAATATACGTATGGATACCGTTGATATGCTACCCAATATATACGTGAAAATGTCCGCCCTATAAACGTATATTTTTTTTATTTTTTATACGTCTAACATTACTACTTTATCTACCTTTTATTATCCTGTTTTACTATACGTCTATATTAGATTTATCTTATTTTATTAATGTGTAAAATGCGTCTACCTGATATTATTTTAAATATATTTCAAACACAAATTAAATAAAGTGATCAAAACAAAATTTCTAAAAGAGGCAATGGAAAAATGTTAATATTTATTCTTAAATTGACAGTTTGGATTTTATCCATAGCAGGTGTGTATACACTAGAAATAGGTATTACTCGTGTTTCTATTTTGGTTGTAATTGGTCTAAATATTTACAAAAAATTTTTGATCACTTGTTCTTGTTATATGTACAGAACAATATTTTATTAAAAAAAAAATAAACAATAAAATACTAAAAAATAAATAAGTTCTAAAAAATAAACACTAAAATACTGAGTAACAAACTAAACGAAACTTTTCTTTAACTAACAAAAAATATATATGAAAATTAAAATCTTAGCTTAACATTTTGGATGTGTTGTGTCCTAGACAGGCCTTAGCTAACTTAAGCCAATCTTGCATAGAACTTCTAATCGTTCGGTCGGTTAAGTCTCTTGGTTCACCCCCATTCCTATAACCAAAATATAACTGCATTTCAGGTGAAATATTTTCTAAAAGCTCCAAAGTTAAATTTGTATTATTTTCTAAGAAATTATTATAAATAATAGAATCAGATGATATATTAATGTCCGAAGCCTTATTAATGTTATCTTCACTGGGAATAAAAAAAACTTGATTTGACTTTAAAGCATATATCTTTTAAAATACGGCATGTATAATAATCGTAAACTGTAAACGTATACGGAATCAACCAATACCAAAATTAAACGAGTATTACGTATAAAATACGTTATTTATACTAATGTGTGCTGCCTGGGATACTCTATCAATTCATGGGCACAAAGCCACCAAATAATGGACGAAGGCCGCTCCCTGACTTATTGGTGGTATATCGTTTTACTCAGTAACACTATGTGCCAATTTGGTACTTACCTTTATCAAACCTTATAAAACCTTATAAAACCTTATAGAACCTCATAAAACCTCATAAAACCTCATAAAACCTCATAAAACCTTATAAAACCTTATAAAACCTTAAAAAACCTCATAAACCCACATAAAACCTTATAAAACCTTATAAAACCTTATAAAACCTTATAAAACCTTATAAAACCTTATAAAACCTTATAAAACCTTATAAAATCTTATAAAACCTTATAAAACCTTATAAAACCTTATAAAACCTTATAAAACCTTATAAAACCTTATAAAACCTTATAAAACCTTATAAAACCTTATAAAACCTTATAAAACCTTATAAAACCTTATAAAACCTTATAAAACCTTATAAAACCTTATAAAACCTTATAAAACCTTATAAAACCTTATAAAACCTTATAAAACCTTATAAAACCTTATAAAACCTTATAAAACCTTATAAAACCTTATAAAACCTTATAAAACCTTATAAAACCTTATAAAACCTAATAAAACCTAATAAAACCTTATAAAACCTTATAAAACCTTATAAAACCTTATAAAACCTTATAAAACCTTATAAAACCTTATAAAACCTTATAAAACCTAATAAAACCTAATAAAACCTTATAAAACCTTATAAAACCTTATAAAACCTTATAAAACCTTATAAAACCTTATAAAACCTTATAAAACCTTATAAAACCTTATAAAACCTTATAAAACCTTATAAAACCTTATAAAACCTTATAAAACCTTATAAAACCTTATAAAACCTTATAAAACCTTATAAAACCTTATAAAACCTTATAAAACCTTATAAAACCTTATAAAACCTTATAAAACCATATAAAACCTTATAAAACCTTATAAAACCTTATAAAACCTTATAAAACCTTATAAAACCTTATAAAACCTTATAAAACCCTATAAAACCTTATAAAACCTTATACAACCTTATAAAACCTTATAAAACCTTATAAAACCTTATAAAACCTTATAAAACCTTATAAAACCTTATAAAACCTTATAAAACCTTTTAAAACCTTATTAAACCTTATTAAACCTTATAAAACCTTATAAAACCTTATAAAACCTTATAAAACCTTATAAAACCTTATAAAACCTTATAAAACCTTATAAAACCTTATAAAACCTTACAAAACCTCATAAAACCC